AGGAGGAGGAGGAGGAGGAGGAATGTGAGAGTCCGTTTATATTGAGACAGACCGGAAGTAACCGTAGGATGCTATGTAAGTCACCACTCTGGAAACCCCCTGTCACCCGGCAGCAGCGAAAACAGAATACCGGTGGTTCAAAAAACACCCTCATGTCTTGACGGCCTGCATCAAGCCAGGTCTTGAGTAAACCCCCTGCGGCACTAGGTAACGGCGACGAGCGACGAGAAGCGTGCCCAAATCACATCAGTCACCTTTCATGGGTAGTGAGGGATACCATCGCAGAGTTGTAACAGCGAATGAGAAGTGCCTCATTCGAGACGAAATCCGTCAACCTCATTCGCGCACTAATCTTCTCGGAAATCAAACAAAGCAGCCTGAAAACTGGAGTTCATATACCAGAGAGCACGTGAGGAACGCTGGGGGACCCACTGATCAGCCGAACTCCTCGCACCTGCTTCATGTGATGGCCCACAATCTGCGAAATACAAGTGCCTGGGTTTCAGCTCAAATATTCAGATCGACACCTTTCGGGTGATTATTCTTAGTCGCCGAGAGTCAAATATTGTCAGTCTTCGCTCATTTAGAATGCGCACAACCACCCACTGGAGCTGTGGAGCACAAAGGGTTTCCGCGGCGTCATAGCGTAGATTGCAATAGCTTATTAACATAATTTCTACTGAGGTGTTTTGAGAATTTTTTTGTGCAGGCGGATGCCTCACAACAGCTCGATTGTTTTGATGTTGTCTTCTTTATTTAATTCGCTCAAGGCCATATCTGCGAGGCAACGGCGGCAAAAAAACGCCCTCAGTGGCAGCTTACAGCCACCGTATCCCACCGAGGCCGCTGAGTTTTTCATAAATGAATCAAACGATTTATTGAATTTTGCAAAAAACACCTATGAAGTAAGTGAGCCTAGTAGTCATTCAGTGGGTTCTAGATTGTTTGCCTAGGAAATCCTGCTTGATCAGTCAGCCTTTCCTATCGGCACTGGTGGATTCCGTACGTTGAAGTAGGCTGGTGGGGCAACTTGACCTCACTATTATCAAACTCGCGGCTGCCTGTTAGGACCTCGTAGTTCCCGTCGTTAGAGCATCAGCTATACTCAAGCCTTGTCCTTGTTGTCGTGGGTTTGAATTCCCGCCAAGGCCGCCGAGTCCAACAAACGGGTCAAATAAGTTATTTCATAAGACGCTCGGCCTAGGAGACCTTGAACGCCCATGCTCTGCTGGCACTGCGGCTAACTGCTTACTTATGAGGCCCGAGTGCCTAATAAGTGCTCAACGAACTTTTTACCAAAGACCGATGTGTGGCTAGTGGCACGACTTACGGCCGCACAGGACCAAGATTGGCTTGACGGCAACATATCAATCTGGGTCCTGTTTTCTGAACAAAACAGGCCACGTAAGATATATGCGGCAGGAAGAGGACCGATGAAAAGAGGAACGTATTCTTTAGGTGCCGATTCCTATTGCAGTAGAAGCTGAGGGAGATGCGAAACGACTAAATACCCCACGATGCAGAGACGTTCAAGCGTGCACATATCGCGTTGGCAGGAAAAATTCTCTCCGTCCAATAAAGAGTCTGCGGCCGTCAGCTACCTGACATGGCAGTTCGACCGTCGTGAACGACGGTATTCATCGTGTGCTCCACAGTAGGCTGAGAGCGGAGATGGTGACTTACGCAGCATCTATCACACCCTCTCCTCCCCCCCTGAATCTGGTACCAAGTCAGAGTTAATATGACCGGAAACGGCAGAAGGCGCAAGTGGCTGACACGGCGATGACCCGCACATAGGCGTACCATCACACCCCTGGTCAGCAACGTACACCGACCAGGATTTTATCCACAAAGAGGGAGAAGACGGGACGGCTTGGATCTCATTTGGCGCGACAAGAATCAGCAACTGGGTCTGCCGCCACACCCCGAGTGTTGGCATTTGTTGTGAGTGCGCATTCCCGATAACGCCTTCCAGAATTCGATTTAGTCCCGATATTGGTCCAGCGCATCTATCTCGTGGTCCGTTTTAGGGGTACCCAATCTCCTGAACACATACCTGCAATAGGGACTCCCTGCAGGAACACAAGGCGGACTCCGGAAGCATCTACAGGAAGGAACCGACAAATGCAGACAAACCTCTTGACCTGAGAGAGGTCTACGGCACAATCAACTCCCGTGAAGTATGGAAAATCACAATGGAGTCCGAATGTCCGGGACGGTTTATGCGGACGGCAAGATAGCTGCATGACGGGATGATGGTGCCTCATGGATAATGCAGTAGTTTGGGAAGAATTGGCAGTAACAAATTCGATGAAACAGGGCTGCGTACTCGCCCCACTCTCTTTAATCTCACGTTCTCAGCTATGCTGATGAAGACCTACCGTGAGTTATGTCCTGGAATCAAATGGAGCTGTTTAGTGGATTGACGGTCAGTTAAAATCTTACGCAAACAGGCAACTGCGGAGGTTTGGGCAAGATCTTTTTCGCGGACGACTGTGTGCTGGGCAGCACACCTGAAGCAGAACCTAGACCACTTTGTCTCTGATAGCTGAAACTGGGGATTGACTACAGCACGGTGGTAAAAGAAGTCATGCACCCACCGAAACCAACCGAGGAATGCGAACCCCTGTCAGCAGATCTGAAGGTAGGATCTTAAAAGGTACCAAGATTGTGAACACCCTCATCAACACCAAGGTGAGAATATACGGAGCCGTCAACCCAAAGAGGTAGGCAGTGTGTCCAAATTAAGCAGGAAATATGAGGCGTTTTCACTCCAGTTGGCTTTGAAGGATGGAAGTGAGTTGGGAGACAATCGCGGAAACCGAAAGCATGATAAGGACCGGCGTACTTAGCAGCTACGATCCGCTGAAGAGGGCTCCCTTTGACGATGGATGATGAGCGCCTGCCTAAGGAATTACTGTACAACAGCGTCACCGTGGCTGCTCGAGGACCAGTCAAATAAAGGCGAAGTTGCAATGGCTCACGAGCAACCAATCAGCATCAAGGTAGCAGACAACTCGGTCTTAGCGACGGAATGATTGGTACTGTGAGGCCGGGCTTGGATTCAGAGCCATGCAAATAGTCCGTTATTGTCGTCTGACGTGTCAAACGTCTGTTTAAGCCGAGCCAAAACTTGCAGAATGCACAACTAACTCACACCGAATAGATGAGAAGCCATCAAAATCGAAATGACACACTTCGGGGACACAGTTCCGGCTCGTCAAGATAAGGACAGTCCCGTCACCACGGCGCTCCCTCTACGACAGAGTGGAATCTGGCATCCATGAGCAACAAATCGACAGCCCTACCAAGGCACGCACTGCTTTATAAGTTAAGGGGGCAAAGGTTAGAATATGCGCCCTAAACACAGTCCGGTAAATCTCGCCGCCAGTTAACTGACCTCGCTTGTGTACATAAAATAGCGGTTGAAATACACGCAGAAACAATATAAACCCCACCCCCTCCCCGGCTTGTTGCAGCCTACGTACCGCATTGAAGACTTCTTTCTTAAAATAAAGAATAAGATGAGAAATAAAACTCTGCTTTCGAGGGCTAGGAAACGGTGGATCAACCATGGATGCTGAGAAACTGTCCGAATTCTGGTTCTGAGATCGGGTGTCCGTCTGAGCGTGCCACACACGCGACCGGGCGCTCCCCAGGGCACGCCTGTATTTCTCATAAGGATGGTGGTCTGTCCGGATCTCGTACGCGTCAGAGTGACAGAAGGGCTAGATGGAGAAGGAGCCAAAGACCCCAATTCCCTCTTACGTGAGAACTGCTGATCCCGAGCTTGTGGTGGATGAACGGGGAGGGTTCGCGCGTGGTCTATACGCCGGTGAGGAGATATGGGATGATGGGGCTTGGCCGACGGTGCTTTAACGCAGGTTTTCATGTAACTGAGAAGGCCCCTGCGGTGATTAAATGCGCGTGAGCAGTGTATGCAGTTGAGGAAGATGCGGTAGGTGTATGTTGCTGCTCCAATCAGTAAGCCTCTTCAGGGGGGTGTAGGGGTTTCCAATTATGGGTCCACGCAAAGATCGTAGTGAGTCGCTCGCAGGTGGTGGCGTCCATTGACGGGCACCAAACTCTCACATGTAGCTCCTAGAAGCTAGGCTCTTCTTAACGGCCACACACCGGTAACCGCCACGACCGGCGGAGCAAACCAGGTGAGGATATCCGTATGTGTATTCCCACACACCGCAACTCTGCTCCCCTACCCTTCCCGCCTCCTGATCCCCTCTCCTTCCCCTCTTCCTCCCCACTTCTCCTTCTACTTCTCTTTCCTCCCCTCCGATCCCTCGTTTCCCTCCTCCTTGCACACCCACCTTCCCCCCCCCTATCCTCCCTTTCTACTCTCCTGTCCCACGGTCGACGAGTCCTACAAAGAGGGTGACATACAATCACGTAGGCGGCCCAGACCATTGGTCGTTCTCCTACTAAACCCCGTGACCCAAAATGGAGCGCGGCATCCCTCTGGTGCGACCAAGAGGCCCTACTTAAAGGACAGCACTACTTTCACACGCGAGGGACGGGAGGCCATAAAAGTGCCGTAAACAAATGCTGGGCTCACGACATCTGCGCGCAAACCCTGGCTCGCAGACTTCAAAACTTGTTGTCGATATCAAAGAGAGGACAAAATACTCTTCGCCCACATCCTACTCTCCGTTCCACTCCACAGGCTGCTAGGGTGAGTACCCTAGCGGGTATTCGAAGAAAGTGGTTTTCCATGTAAAAAAATGCAAGTCTTATAAGTGCCAGACAGTTTGGTAGACCATGCAACCCGCGAAGTGTTTAGAAAGCAGTAGTGGACAAAGTCAGAGGTAACTGAAAGGTAGAAAATGTATACCCGTGACAATGTAAAATAACTGCTTATCCAATACCTTTGTAGAACCGACGCGGAGAAGGAAAGGCCCACAGGATGAAGAAGAAGATGGAATAAGGAGAATTATAGACGTTATGGGGGGGGGGGTACAATTGCCGCAGAAAGTGAGTACCAAATGACCGAAATGAATGATGAAGCAAACACCGCAGATCTTATGCAAAGGCAAGAATACCGCTGCTATATGGATGCAAAAGTATTTTTGAAGGGGAAAGTGCAGGTTACATAAATTCTAAGTAGGTAGTTGAATTATGCAACCAATTAGCCATATTTGATCTAAAAGGTAGGAGTGTAGAAGATAATGACCCATGACTCCAAGTCTAACCTCTAACCCGTACCACAACCCTAGACCCTATTCCGTACTCCTAACTCGAAACATAATCCGAAACCCCTACCCCAAATCCCTGTAGAAATCTATGAACGTCTACCCTAATTATGGACAGTAATCCTAACGGTAAAATCGGACCGTAAGCCTAATCGTAAACCCCAACCCGTTTCCCAATCCTAGGGCTAAAAAGCAATAATAACCCCAGCCCTACACCCTAATGCTGAACTGATTAGAACCCTACTCTCAACCGTAACACTAGCGGCCGACTCCGTAATCTTAACCATTAACCCTAAACGTAATCCCGCACCGATATCGGGATCCATTATGTCCGTTAGAATATATAGTAAGCAAGCAGAAACCTAATAGAAAGCAGAAAACGTATGAAGGCGAAATTTCGAGTCCCAGGTGTGTGCATAAGTGAAAAAGAAGAAGAGGGGTCGAGCGCTGGAGCATTTTGTTTTTTGTCCTGAGCTTTCGGACTTGTGCAGCAGCCCATCGTCAGAGAACCCAGTCAATCGATTTATCGATCTGGCGCCGGCGTTTAGAGCCCTGCTGTTACTTTCTCTGAAGATAGACTCTCGCAAGAGTCCGAAAGCTCAGGACAATAAACAAAATGTTCCGGTGCTCGACCCCTCTTCTTCACTTAAACAGAAAACGTAGCGAAACGAGCCGTCCTACAGCTGGAACCCCGCTGCAAACAACCCGTGAACCTATCCTGGTTCGTTATCTTAATACCGAACTCTTGAACCGACGCCTAACTCCGAGCGGGAACCGTAACACCGCCACCAGTCCTACAGCTGGAATCCCACTCCACAGCAGTACGTGCACGAAAACTAGCGGAAGATTAAAAGTGGTACATGTTAACCGCCTACTTAAATCAATAATAGTACGAAGGGGATAAGCTTTCGAAGAACTCGGACGTTTTACAGCCCTACCGTTAGCTTATCTCGAAAGCACACTCTCCGGCAGCACCAAAATCGACGACAAAGTGACCCACTAGATCTTCAAAACCAGCCAAACCTTCGGCCGGCTGCAGAACTCCGTGCGAAATCTTCACAGCTTCCAACTGAATACCAAGCTGAAGATGTACAGCTTCGTCGTCCTGACGACACTTCTCGACGGATTGGAGACCTGGATCGTCTTCCATATCCATGCCAAGAAACTCAACCACTTCCATCTCAGCTGCCTTCGCAGAATACTAAAGATAAGATGGTAAGACAGGGTCCCCGACACGGAAATCCTAGAACGGACAGGAATCCTTAGCATTCACGCCATGTTGAGGCAACTGAAGCTGTGTTGGAGCGGCCATCTAGTGAAGATGGAAGACACATGTCTACCGAAACAACTCCTCTTTGGTGATGGCGCCACGAGTAGTTGTACACCAGGAGGACAAAGACAAGGCTACAAGGACACTTTGAAGGACTCCCTGAAGCGGCTGCAGATCAACCCAGGGAACTTGGAGGACCTCGCCCAGAACAGATCGACATGGCAAAGAGAATTAAAGACTGGCTTCGCCATCTATAAAGTAACTTGGATCCCTGCCGTCAAAGCCAACAGGGAGACTCGCAAGTTACAAGTGCCTCGCCTCCTTAATGCCAATCGTCAACCGCCTCTAGCATGTCCGCGCTGCCAACGCCCATTCGGCGCACGAATCGGTCTCGTGGGGCACCTTTGAACCCAGTGCGCCACCAATTCGACAACGTCTACGTCTCCCAATCTTACGCTTGATGCAAACCCCGCGCTGACCGCCGCCTCCGTCACCGCTGCCCCGCCGCTATCAGTCAACGATACCATCCACCCTGCCTCAATCGTTGCGTCGGCCACAGCAACCAGCTCCACCACCACCACGACATCACGCACTCCCCCTACCGATGGGACGACGTCCGACGTCCCATAACCTTCCACCATCATCGTCAATACCCTCACCTCCAACGATGTGTACTCGGCTCCTACCTGTGCTCATTGTGATCGCACCTTCGCCCCAAACATCGACCTGGTTGGCCCCTTGCGAATCCATCACACAGAGACTGGCGAACCAGTGCCCGGAGCACCAATCTATACTTGCCGCATCCCTCTCAACTGCCCTCACTGCGCCCACACATTCAGCCTCAACAATCTGCGGCAGACAGCCGCCGGCTACACCACACCATCATATCCTCCCTCACCAGCATCGGCACCTCCCAACGCCAGTGACCTGTGTCCCCCTTCTCTTCCTGGCCCATTTTATTGTTGGTTAAAATCCTGATCAGGTGGTTATTATGGACCAGACGGTGTGGTGGTACGCCTAGGCGCGGGTCCGGTCATGTCAGGCACCTGCGCTCTCTCCCACCCTCGGTCTTCTTGACTATGTCTTGACACCGGGCCCAGGTGGGGAGGAGGTAGTGCGGCAGATGCTGCGCAAGTCTATCCTCATTATGAACTAATTTACGCGCCAGTCACCCCGCATGCTTCAGCTTACTGTGGAGCACACGGTGGACATCGTCGGGTGCAACGGTCGAATTCTTAAGCCGATGTGCGATGGATTCGCAAGCGGCCGACCAGGCCGATGCTTAGACAAAAGCAAACCCACACGGATTGCGCCGTATGCCATCGGATCTAATGGAGTTTGCATCAGTATGAGTGTATCAGGCTGCAAGGGGTATTCGAACTCCATCGGCTATTGCCGCATATGTGCACTGCACGACTTAGACTCTCACTCAACGTCATCACAAATTAACCGGAAGGCTCAGGCAGCTGACTGGTGCATTTAGAGAGGAAAGAGACCATAAGACTTGGCCGCAATGGCACCTGTCTTACCGTGGCCTCTGTGAGAGAAGTGAGACCACTTGGCTGAAGCCTTGCACGCGTAGAGCCGATGTGGAGGCCGTTTGTGGCCTGCGTAGACCTGTTGTTTAATTTTTCCAGTCACCGCGCCCGCGCCCACATCCGGCCGTCTTGACCCTGAAACCAGGGCACGTTTGGCCTGGGAGACGTGGTTAAGGTAGATGCGGCGTATGCCCATGTCACAGCTGCGGCCATCCCTAGGGGGCAGTGATGTGTCGGAGCATTTGTAGCCGTCTAACTACCGGGCAAATCTCGTGCATGTCTACCTTACTATAATTAAATTCGCATACAATCTTGAAAACCACGTGATCAGAGGTAATTGTGAATTCAGATAAACGTCGTTGCAAGTCGGTTGTACTACTTTAGAGACGTCAGTAGTACTGCAAAATATCATGGCCAACAACTGACTGCCCCAACGGTGACAGCAAAGAAGACCTGCTTTGTATACAGTACGTGACCTATCTTATGAAATCTGATAATGGAAACACTGAAAATCATGAAGTATTCAACAACATTTCGAGGCCGATCTGAAACTCAACGTAATCCAAAACAAAGGAAATGTATAAATTAATTTAATGGAAGAAAAGTTCTCGCTATACAAACAAAATAGTAGTTTACGATCACGATCTTCGCATAACTTAAACTTCTATGTAACCGTTTTGGCCTGATGAAGAGTTACCGAAAAAACGTGTTTGCCAAATTGACTTTTCAGTTCTACTTAAATTTATTCGGCACCAACCGGCCACACGACATGTCACCTTATGAAAACTTTCGATCCTACGGCGTCCCCATCGGTGAAATCAAGCAAAATCCAGTTTCTCTTGTTGAACCCCATCTCATATACTTCAAACAAATAAAAAACACGGATCACTGGAACTGTTTTGGAATCTACACTCAGAATGTAGGCTGTTGACAAACCGTCATATATGAAATCACACTACTTATTAAACGATATTTAGATGTAAACTTCACTAAAACACTGTTATTAGACGTTATCTTATGTCTACATTCATATTTACTACGTTTTTGATATGAGAATATATTCTATACATCTAAAAGCGGACTTTCCTTAATTAGAGCCATTTCAGTCATTTTCGGGATATTGCGCTTTTCAAAATAAATCGGCATTTCTAAACAACGCAACACTGCCTATAGTATTTATTTTACGTTTTTAATTCGTTTAAACTTGTACTTAATTAACATTGACATTTGACTCATGAAATGGTGTCGGTATGCTGGTGATTGGCAACCATTCGCAAATTTCGACACATTTCATGAGTTAGGTCACTAACTGTAATTTCCGAGAAATGGACACACAGGGAAACTGACTGAGGTCGTGACCGGATCGAGAAATCCAGCCCCAACAACTGAGCTTGATATTCTCAGGGATTCTTTCCGCAATGGGAGAAAAAGACGGACAGTGGCCGTTGCTAGACGTCTTTGTCTTCAGAAACGGTGATACGAGACTTAAAACAACGTTTTACATAAAGACGAAGTGCACCCCTCGTATTCTACGTTTTCATAACAGCCACCCCGTTTTGTACAAATGCAGCTGCGTTCAAACCCTGCCTAGCGGACTTATCAAAAATGTGAACGAGAAGTCGGCGAAAAAGACCTGAGGATGGGACCAAAATCGAGGCATTAAGGCGTCACACTTCTTTTTGCTGTTGTGTCCGAATAATTGACTAGAATGGTAGGCGAACCCGATATTGGGATCGCTCAAGGGCCGCACGCAAGAATCCGCCAGCAACTCATGCATCCGAAGGACCCAACACATCGATCAAAAGCCAGCAACTGTGATCAAATCAGTTATGGTGGTGAAGCGCGGATGCAGTTGCGCACGAGACCGACCAATCGTTTTCACTATCCGACCACGTGAGAATCTCGGGCCAATTAGGTGATCGGATTTCGCGCCCACTGTGGGGAAAGTGGCGTTTTGCCGATGACCCGATCATAAGACATAACGACCTGTCAGTCGCTTACCATACTCTGCACGAATAAATCAATGGCACAGCTGAGGGCCATTCTCATTTGAGATTTGTCAAATATGCGACGAAGTATACGTGTCCCCTATTCCTTGGGGTTGTGTTAGGATGACAGTTCAGAGCGTCGAATGGTCAAAGTGATCACAGAGTCTTTCTTCCCCGTTGTAAGTTAACATCTGCGTTGCAATCAGCATTATCTCAAATGGGGGCCCACCGCCATAGGGCAACGTAGGAGCGTGATTAATCGCATCCCATGCCCTTATTGCTGCTGCGTGCATGTTAGCCACACGGGTCGACGTCTTGATACTCATATTAACGGGCACAAACTGACGGACCACCCGAATGAATCGCTGACCTTCATCTCTGTGCACAAGTTCGAAAGTGGCCACCGATTCAATTAGGAGGATACCGAAGTGGTCCTCACGGCCAAAGCAAAATACTGGGGGGTTTTACGTGCCTTGGCACCCCAATACAGGCGGTATCAATCGTCATGTCGACTCACAGGAAAGGACACAATACGCGACCCAACTTTGCATGTCACTTATTTCTGCCTACTGATTCTTACGGAAGTAGCGTTGCTTGGTCTGGGCACACTGATCGCCTTCTTTCAGGACAACATAACTTTACGCTTTACTGGCATTATTCTGCATCGCTTTTGACTGGTACAAACGCTAATTTTGTATACTTTACCTTTGCTGGCCACCTTGGCGGCTTCCCTGTGTTCCGCTGTTCTGCATCATTATGTCGTGCCGTAGGGTCAGCGTCCCCACTTTACTCTTATGGGGTTCGCCGTCGTTCGTCCTCGGGTTTCTATTGGCTATTTCGCCGCCTTGATCTCTGAGCGTGGCGTCTAACTGTGCGGAGGCTATATTTAGCTTCCTTGGGTTTTTTGGTGTTACCTTTCGCTAGTATTCCATTCCCCCGATTACTTCCAAGGTCACGCATGGATCTGTTGGGACCTATTCACGGAATTTGAACATTTTTCCAAAACTTCATCATGTTTCACTACTCTTTCTCATCCATTAGTCTCACCCATATAACCCCTACTTCCACCCGTTCCGTAAAACACGATGACTTATCGTCTGCACTTTGGATGGGGTCGCATACTGCGTCGTTGTCGACTCTCATACAAATCCATATGCGACAGTCTGCAGCGTCTCACATCCGCCATCCTCCCTCACTCTCAAACAGCGAGTCTTAACCGTTCACACCCGCTGTGGTCTATCGTAACTATACTCACCCCTCTCACGTAATAGTGCGGTTTATTTAACTCCTACGACCCCATTAGTTCTAATGTAATCATTTCAGCTGGCGACGAGTTTGCGTCACAAACCGGAAGACTCCCGAGTACAACTCGTTTTTTGAAGAAACCATCTCCCACTTAATCGGCTCAGAACCCATACCCCACCAGAGTAGTAGCAAAGAGCCCAGAGTTAAAACATCGCTCCCTGCGGAGGCAAGATCATCGACTCCGCCTCTTCCGTCCTCCCTGGTGTCGTCTGTGAAGATAAAGCCCATCAACGTGACCGTCAAGTCCCCCCCCCCCAATAAATACTGCGAGACGCAGTACGATACTCACCTCCGACGATGGAAGATCATCGGCTGCTGCAACGTCAGGATAATACATCCAGGGTTCCCGAAGTGGCCTTTTTTTTCTCATGTATGTATGAGGCGCGCACCTCCGCCTTTATTAGAACTTCCAAAATGGTTAACACTCCCGATTGCAACCAACAGGACGATGCCGCGGCTCAGTGGTTGGAGCGTTGGACTTACTAGCACTTAATAAACAAGAGAACACAGGTTAGGTCCCTAGGTGTTCTCAGGTTCGGCAGGACTAGCTGACTACGGCTAATAAACCAGAAGTGGCCATTCCAGTCCCGCTTGGCTTTGTCGGTTATTTCCTTCTGCCTATACCGCTAGCTGCTGTGCGGCTGTCCGTAGGGCTTTACATCGAGCCCCAAGGCACGACGGGACGAGCGTATCCCGTAACTTGATCAGTGGGCGCCTCCCACCATAACACCCGCATATACAGTGGATGCGCTATCTCATGAAATGTTAGCTGAAATGTGTTTTCGACTCGAAAACATTACCAGGGTTGTAATGTTACTTACTACCGCACCATAATCTCAAGATATTTCAGTTACATCAGAACGCCGGCTTTTGAACGAGCTTCTTTCGGGCCATCCGCAAGGATCGAACTCCGTAAAAAATGACTACTCAAGTAGCGGGAACTTTCCATTGATTTTCGATGCCCTTATATATTCAAATATATCTTATAGAAAACACGCACAAAAATACTCATTCTTAATCATTTGCTAGCAAATTACGTCTTTCTTGAATTGTATACCTGAAGAAGTATCTCCCGGCTTTAGGAAAGTTTCCATTCATGAGATTTGTAAGTCTGGAACGTCCAGTCATAAGACATCGTATCACTACATTTACTAAGGTTTCTTGTAAAGCATACAGTATGATTCAAATCGACAACTAAATTGTATGAAGCTCATATAATATCTTCTTACAAGCATGTAGAAATGTGTGATTTGCCAGAATGCCAGTGTGACGGCCGGCCAGGTTCAAATCTATTCGGGAATCGGAAAGTTTCTCAAAACAAAATCATACTGCTCCATCAAGCCTCAGGTTTAAAGATGACGTAATTTGCTACCAAATGAGTGAAAAAACGGCCGCTCCTGTGCATGTTTTATGTAGAATATGAATTTATAAGGACATGGAAAATCAGTTAAAAGTCGCCGTTACCTAAGAAGCCATTTTACGAAGCCCTGTCCTTGCAGACGCCCCGAGAGGAGCCCGTTGGAAAGCTGGCATCCTGACGTGACTGTAATATCTTGGGACTATGCTGCACAGCTACTGTCACAACCCTACTTACGATATCTTCTCAAATCGAAAACGCACTTCAGGGGGACTGGAGCAACCATTTCTGGTTTATTGATCGTCATCAGCCAGACATACCCAACGCCAGTTGTGGAGAATTCAGCTGCTCTGGTGCCATTCGAACCTGAAACAGCAAGGGCAAGGCTTGAGTGCAGGCAACGCTCTAACCACCTGAGCTAAGAGGTCCCGACCGGGTAAAATGAGTTATTCTAAACTGTATGTACAGTAGGTGGGCTAACTCATGAAATGTCAATCGAAATTCCGAAATGCGCAGAGTTGTAAAACTAATCATCATGCAGCGTACTTCTATAATAATTCAGTTACCTCAGGGTGCCGGCTTTCGAATGAACTTCTTTCCGGCTGCATGAAAAAACTATACTCTGTAAGAAAAGACTACTTATGTGGCATGAATTGTTCTCATTGATTTTTGATGCCCCCAAAAGTCCAATTATATTTCATGGAAAACACGCATAAAAATATTCATTCTTTCACTTATTCGGTATAAAATCGCGTCTTCTTCCGATTTTATACTTGAATGAGGAGTATAATTCGGTTTTAAAAAACTTTCTAATTCGGGAATAATTCTGAACCCGACCTGCTGTTAGACTTGCATTCAGGGTTTCTAAACTACAAGCCTTATATTTTGCCTGTACTGAAAACCATACATTTCTCTACGGTATTAAGAGGGGACCATATGGGGTTCATAAAATTAAGCAGTGGATTTGATCCATATTGGTAACTTTACAAGCCACATCGGTAAATGCAGAGATATGACGATTTGTGAACGGCCGTTTCACGGTATTTAAAAGTCCTACAATTAGAAAGTTTTTTTAAAATCGAATTATGTCCCTCGTTCGAGTATAAAACTATAGGAAGACGTAATTATCTACCGAATGAGCAAAAGAGTGAATATGTTTATGCATGTTTTCCATGAAATAAAACTAGACTTTTAGGGGTATCGAAAATCAATGAGAAAAATTCATGCTACATAAGTGGTCATTTTTTTACAGAGTATAGTTTTGGCATGCAGCCGAAAGGAAATTCCTTCGAAAGCCGGCATCCTAATGTAACTGAAATATTATAGATTTATGTTGCAGGCTGACTAGTTTTACAACCCTACCTAATTAATCTTTTCGAAACGAAAACGCCTTTCGGAATTCTGGTTGACATTTCATGAGTTAGCCCCCCTACTGTATGTATCAGGGGCTGTAGGCGAGGCTGGGGGTGGACTGAAACAGTACTGTTCTACCCTCATCCAGCCAACCATAACCCTTGACACCATTCGGGGCCAAAACACGAATACCCGTGCACACAGCACAGATGACCAACACCAAGGGACACATCAGATGGATAAAAGGCCTTTCTTTGAACTAAAGACTATCAGTGCCTTGCTACCTGACACTCTGTCGCCATATATTCAAGGCATGGATGGGAAGGATATTTTGGGGATTTTGCAAGCAGGCTCCTCCTTGCTTCCTGCTGTAGCATAAAAGAGGTGAAATTGTTGTTCAGAGTTCATGTACACGGGAAAGGGAGCTGTTAATCAAGAGAGGCGTTTGCGCAGGAGGTCCAGGTCCTTTAGACGTTCTGAGAAATGGCGATTTCTCCGCGGTTCTGGATCCACGTCATCTAGACCAAGTCCATAACCCTGCTCATCTATCAACCAATCGTCAGCAAGTGGGGGACCGTCATAATCTCCCCGAAGTGCCTGCTGTTGATGCAGTTGGCCATTCACTTTTCGCTGTGCGTCGAGCAGACGCGCCTCCAAGAGATCCAGGCTGCGTCGTGTAAGCACCAGAGTGTCGTGGTGCACCATAGACCAGACGTTTAGACCGTGCAGAGGCATCAGCGTCAACCCACGACCCGGATGAAGGGCCCGGGGGGCGGCCGCCATGCTGCCGACTGGAGGGCTGTGTACAGCGGCCTCGGGGGCGACCTCGGAGTCGATATACTGTGCGTAGCTCGCGCAGGCGAGGGCTATCGCCAGGTTGGCTGTTGAAGGGGGGCTTGCATCATCCGGTTGCTTTCCGAGAAAAGCCTCCCCTCTATGTGAAGAAGAGAGGAGACAACTGATATGTACAAAAACCACACACCATATTGATGAAGGATGAAGAAGAGGGGGAGAGCGTGTCTGCTTCATGTGTGTTACACTTCGCTGAACTCTGTTTGGGTCTTATGTGACAGGGTCAGTCGTTCTTGGGGTGGGGGAGGGGGAGGGGTTATCTAGCAATGATGTTACACTCACACCTTGCAAAAACTTTGTAGGAAACGATGCCTTCGAAGCTGTTTCCGTAGCGTTAACTTTGATGAACCAAATCCTGTGTGGGGAAAGGCTCCCCACAGCCGACGCTACCTGCGACCCAGCAGGGTATGTAACCCTTCCACACTCTCATGTCCGATGGAATGTGTAATCGCTTTGCCTTATAATATTATCTGAATCGATTATATATCAGTTTCTGAAGATTGATGACCGACAGGGATATTCGAAACTTCAGGTATTCAACATAACTCTTCTGAAAAAAAAACGTCTCATTTTCCGATATCTCCCTGAGAACTGAATTCCAATTACTATCAATGTCACTTAGCTGAGCTTGACATATCCTGCCGCGAGACTTCAACCAGTCAATTTTGAGCAGGCAGTTATATGAAAATTACAGAATAAGGGGCAGTATATGCTGTTGGCAAGAGAATGGGTTGAGCTGTCTAGATCTACTGCCGCGGATCGTCACGCGTGGACATCATCGAGGCCGGCTAGATCAGGAGGCATGATCGCAGCCGTAGCAAGTACAACTAAGTACAAGCACCAGTGGATGACGGTGGAGAGAAAGGGGGCGGGACGGGACGGGGCGTTAGCCAATCAAGTTACAAATCGTGCTCGTCCCCTTGCACCTTGGAGTCAAAACAAGGGCCCTCGCAGGCAGTCGAAAAGCGACCAATAAAATTAGAAGAAGCGCAGACAAGGACAGGAGAGAACTGGATGACCATTTCTGCCTCTTTTGACGTCGTCAGTCCGTTAAACTCAGCCCTGAATCTGCATGACCTGTGATTCGAACACAGGTTCTTTGGTCAGTGAGCGTCAAGTATACTAACGCCCAACCCCTGAGTGACGAGTCCGCTTTCCTATTGGTTGTGATCGCAAATATTCACTATAAAAGGCAGGGCGTTTGCCGATCATATCACGAGACATGTTCGTCCCGTTGTGCCTACAGTCGTCGCAGACAGCCGCATAACGACGAGCAATATGTGCCGAGGTCACTTGGACCTGTGGTTGGCTAGCCAGAAATGACCCCCTCCCCCTGGTCTCCCTTGTCTCCGTCGGTACTCGTCTGCACACACACACACACACACACACGTACTCGACCTGCATTTTTCCCAAGTTAAAGACATGGACAGAGGACCAGCCCCGATTCAGCGATAAATTTGTCTTCACTGTACAGACACTGTTGGAGCGCCTAGCAAGGCCAGGTGGCCCACCATTTAGAGTTCCAGTCAGCAATCACTTTGAGCAGGTGATAGACAGCTCCGTAGCGGCCGAAAGTTCAGGAAAATGCCTTGGCAGCCTTGAAAGCCGCCTGGCCAGAAGCCCTGGCGGTTGTAAATCCACCAACTATCATCAGCGAGTATAAAAATTCAGAATTTGGCCGGTGAAGGATCCCAGGGGACTCACTCTGTAATAAACAGTACCGCGGGGCCCCACTCGCGGGAGTCAACAAGCCTGCGCAGGTATTCAGCCGCCTCATAGGCCACCTTTGCAGCTTCCGCGGCCTTCCCGCCTTTGATGAGATCAAGCAGCTCCTCGGTCTCCTCATTCTCTCGCTCCATGGCCGCGTGGAGATCGCTCTGTTCAAGTGGACGCGAAGAGGCCAATAATTCGGCCTCACTGAGGGCCAACCGGGCCAGAAGATCCCTACTGGTGGCAGTAGTATTTGTTGCCTCTGGAGACGACTCAGCTGCCTCCAGACGAAGTCGTCGGAGAGCACGGTTGTTGGCTAGCTCATAGACTGAACGTGACGCCTCCTCCAGTTCCTCCGAAAGACTCAGGTCTTCAACAATGTGCAGATCACCCTGCAGGCAGGTGGGGTGAACATCAAGAGCGAGCATGCAGTACGAAAGAGGGATGGTGAGCGAGAGAGAGAGACAATAACTGACTAAATATGTTCAAAAAGAGATGAAGACGACCGGCAAATTGTTGTCGAGCACACTTCCATATTCCCGATGACAAACAAATGTCGGCAATATAATGGATTTAGAAATAACTGAGACAGAACCACAAAAATAGAGATGGGTCAAGAAGATATGCACACCTAACCGACAGCAAGCGCAGTTCTGGACAGAAAAAAGAGGCTGGTGTGCTTGCAATTCAAAACAAACTGCCGATAGCTCCTATGAAAATGAACGGTAGCAAGATTTGCCTCCACTCCCAGACTGTTACAGTGCATATTACCTGATCGGTGAGCGCCCATCTGTCATAATTGATATTCCCGATCACAACCGACAGGACAACGGGCCCGTGGCTCAATGGTAGAGCGTCACACTCCATGACCAGAGATCCCGGGTTCGAATCTCAAGTGATCCACACTTGGGGTTGGGTATGACTGGCTGATGACGGCTAATAAGCCAGAAATGGCCATTCCGGTCTCCCTTATCTTTGTCGGTATCACCTTATCAACATATATCACTAGTCGCTGTGCGACTGCCTGCGAGGGTTTAAGTATGAGCCCCAAGGCACAACAGAACGAGCATGTTCTGTAACCTGATCGCTGAGCGCCCATCTGTCATAATATATATATATATATATATATATATCCCGTTCATCATCCCCCGAAGAAGACGAAGAAGAAGATGGGGCGAATTCATGGACCGAGTTATATTTGTACTGACGTTTCGGAAACCCCCTCGTTTCCATCATCAGAGTAATGCGCTGACTGTTCCTGCTGGTCTTGATTGCGTCAGCCTTGATACCTGCCTCGCGCACGGATATAATACCAGGCAGGTATCAAGGCTGACGCAATCAAGACCAGCAGGAACAGTCAACGCATTACTCTGATGATGGAAACGAGAGGGTTTCCGAAACGTCAGTACAAATATAACTCGGTCCATGAATTCGCCCCATCTTCTTCTTCGTCTTCTTCGGGGGATGATGAACGGGATACAATATCTGGACCTCGAATCTTTACCCATATCAATATATATATATATATTGGTGCCAACAAATTCCGTGACCACTTCTCAGATGCCTCTTGTTCCCTCAAAGCATAAAGAGCAAATGAAAAATAAACGGCAGTTTGAATCCGTACAGAAAGTCAATATGAAATTGGCAAGGTCATTGTCCACGCGTATTGTCCAAATACCCGGTCTGCAACGACAGAGAATTCCAGTTGACGAGACACTGATGCAATTAGGTTATATGTAGTGCTGTAGATCATCTGCGTTGTGTGTGAGTGCGAGTTTTGCCCCTAAAACGGATCAAGCGGTTGATGCAATGGATCAACGCAGGGGCTAGGTCGGAGTCCGGTAGACGTTATGGGGATTGTGCACCCATAACAAATGCCAACATTCAGGATGTAGTGGTAGGTCCCGTTGGAGGCTCACTCTGCGTCAACAGGGACCCGAGCCGCCCTATATTTGTTGTTTTTTTTTATAAATCCTGGTCAAGTGATTGTTGTGGACCAGGCGGTGGTAGCAGGGCTAGGTGCAGGTTTTCGCCGTATCAGCCACCTTCGGTCTCTGTTATGATACCAGGCCCAGGTGGAGGAGGAGGAGGAGGAGAGAGTGTGGTAGATGCTGCGCAAGTCCGCTGCCACTATAAACTAATTTGGGCACAAGCCACCATCCCTGCTTTCCCCTTGCTGTGGAGCACACGGTGGACATAGATGAAATCGAAGGTCGAACTGTCGTGTGTGCGTATGAGTGTGCTCGTGTTTTAGGTCTCAGATGGTGGCCAGAATGAGGATTATCTGGATTAATGAAAAATTAACCAACGCTATATTCATGTGCACACATCACTGTAGATGCCCCCTCCGCAAATAAAAAGTAATGTAAGGCAAGATTGAAAAACAAGAAAATAGCAGCAACATAAAATTGTTCTATTCAATTTTTATACCCACGTCCTTTTCTTGTTCCTCTACTACATATTAGGCGACTGTATCGTTTATTCGAATGTGGTCTAAACAGCGGATAAGGGTGGCGCCAATAAATTCTGCTGCATAGCTTTGTTTTATAGTCCTAGAGACACGAGAAAATCGGCCAGCACGTGGCCAGCCTGCAGGAGGCATTCAGTAATGATGAACGATTCACAAAGCCAACGGAGTAAAGTTTTAATGGGACGGATGTTTTGACAACGACAAAGCAGAACACTAATTTGCGTTTTGAAGTAATTGCGCGGAGAGCACTTCCAACAGCCTTCTTTTTAACCGCTTTCTGACGCAAGGTGGGAATAGGTGTGTACATCCATACCGTCTGCCAAAACACTTTCCCTGTGAAGTAACTGTCCACAACGTATTGCCCACATCGGATCTTGACCAAACATGCAGACCGTGAGGACGGTGCTAATACAATAACAATAAAGGAAACAATTCGCAGAAGTGTGTTTCACAAAAAAACCGTGGACAGGGTAATACACAAATTTCCACAGTTTCGCCCCGCCAAGTCATAAACGAACCCTAGTCTGTTGCCTCATCAACCGAGCTAGGAGAATATACATTCCAGATACGCTGGAGAACGAATTAGCCTCCAACGAAACATTAGGAATAAAAAGGTTTCCCGATAAGTTGATCAAGTCCGCCATAAACTGGCGTGTCGAAGGAGTTATTGATGTCTCGAGGGAATCCGACCAGCGAACTTCCACAACATCGCTTGAACCCCGCTATTGTGCGCACGTACCCAGCCGTCAAGACTAAGTTCCCCAAGAACTCCGCATCTTCCCCCTCTGTAAGGTAGGGATAGGCTGACCGTTCAGACTTTTTCAATATGCATCTATACTTTCAATTGCCTTGTGGGGCAGGTTATATTCGCTGAACGACAAGGTGTCCATTCAAGCAGACGTGGGAGCACCGTCCGGCCTGGCTAGATCAAGGCGTGGAAAAGTCCACCCCTAGCGCAAATGTGGCTTACTTGGTTGACAGCGGCCACCGCGCGGACGTCAATCAAGCTTTTTAGCTGCCGCGCAGCATTTCAAGTTCCTGCGACAGCGGATACTTGCTACGGTCACGGAGTCAACCAAAACCCTCAAGTTCACCTGGCCCATGCTAAGCCCTTTATGTTCGAATCTGCATCCTACCACATTGCATTACAGTGACAAAACATAAGCAGATTCCCTTTCCTTTCTCTCCCCTGCCCACTCTCCGAACTAAACTGGAATCACCCCTGGTTGTGACATGCCTGAACTCCTTTGGACCCTCCCCCCCCCATGACTACTGTCCATTGGCTGTTATCAACTTTGATGTTCTACCGCAACCTACTTATATTATTGTACAGGTCAGAGGAGAAAGGGTCGAAAACGCAGGTTTGCCTGACTTGACTTTCTCAGCTGCATGCAATGTGGTCCAGCTGTTATTTTTTGTAGCACAATAAGCTCTGCGAAAGTAGAACACGGCAAGTTGAGAGATACGAAGTATGACTGAGTTAAGGGTTCCCCAAAGCCCTCTAGGAGTGACCACTCGTGCAACTATCTTCGGAACCCCGAAAAGACTGACAAACAGTGGCACATGAACTAGGTCAGATCCTAATGGGTACATAGTATATGGCCCTCTTGTGGCAGCAGGATAAAACACAAGCACTAATTCAAAGGGCGTCAAATTCATTATCACGTGCTACCCATTACCGGTTTAATTGATCAGTCGTGAAACTTCCCTACGAGGCTCTGCAGAAGCTGATACAGATTTTCGATGCGGTTTAGAGCCGTCGCTTCTAAAAGTTTTGGCTATGATCTGCCAGAACATTTAATTTCTTACTAAGTGGGCACCAGAGTCTAATAAATACAAGCAAACAGCATGGGCTTTGGCTACGTAAAATGCAGGCACACAGGCCTGATGCAGCGGTCAGTTTCGTCGTTATTGTTCTACTGTGACCTGAGGGCCGATCGGAGGCATTACAATAAGCAAGTCCCATAAACAGGTCACTAGTGAAAATGAGCACTCGGGAAGGCAAGAAATTGAAAGTAAATTGCTCAAAACACAACGGGTTGTCCATTATTCCGTACGAAGGCGATCACGAAGTGGAGGGTGGTAGTGGTAACTCACGCGTGAGGCACATGATAATGAAGATTATTTCTTGTCAGGTTCTAGAAAGTGAGCAACCGAGGATGGCGGTGTGTGTTTGCGGCTGGCCGGGTCACGTGCGAGACGCATGCTAGCCCCCTATTTTCAACCGAATCAGACCTCATACACTAGGATGTGCCATAAAACTCCCGTAAATGAGCCGATGCTGTCTGAGGACATAAACTATCCCGCCAGTTGGCCACTCCCAAAATCATGGCGGCCTCATTCAGGTACAAATCAGGTCATGGGAAGGCTGCCACAACTACTATCTTCTGGATCGCGGCCAGATTCAAGGGAAAGAATCTGGTGAGACGGTTGAGGCTGACTGGGATTCTGATTCCAAACTGCGTGTCACGTGTTACTGACTTTCTCCTCCGGCCGAACCAGATTCCACTGTTTAATATTCGTTTCCTCAAGTTCATTCGACAAAATGGCATGACTGACCTGCGCATGCTTTATTGTCAGCATGCTGAGAAGGCCTGTTACGCGAACAGAGTAGGGGAGGACGGAGAAGAAGGATTCGGGACCACGTGGACC